AATAAAATAATAAAAAAAAGCAAATTTGACTTAAAGTAATGAATTACTGAACACAAGCCCCGAATGCATAAAAGTGAAGAAATTTTGATTTTTTAATAGTAAAAAATCAAAAAAGAAAAAGTTTTTTCCAGCCCCGTAAAGAACGGAGACATCATGGAACAGAAAATGGATATAGTTGTTTATAATGAATAAATCAATTGTCCTTTTTTCTCTCTTAGGATCCAATTGTCACAGGGTTTTAACAAAAATTTGATTTGCCTCAATCAAGTTTAATCATAAATTCTTTTTTTATGGTAAATTGTTTTTTTTTTTTTTTTTTTAACAAAGATCGATTATTTTTTTTGGTCACATTTAAGATTGTCATTTTTAACATATTTTTAGGTATTTTCTCTCTTTTTTTAGGAAAAAAAAAATTCAAAGATGAAATCAAAAACAAACAAATTCAATAATAACAATTTTGATTGAAGACAATCAAATAACTTAAATAACTTTATTTTATTTTGTTATAGAAACTGAATAAAAATTGATGATTTTTAGTACTATTCCATGTCTGTATTTTCCTAAGTTTGTTCATTCGTTTTTTCCACTAAATTGATTATCATCCCACCTTGGAAGAACCTAAACTCTATATTTTTATATATATATATATATTACTATATATATATATTAGAACTATTTCAAAGTTAAACATATTGGTTTCAGTTATTACATTTTTGGTTAGAAGGACTATTCTGGATAAAGTCATGATTTTATTTTGAAATTACATGCATTTAGTAAATATTATAATTGTAAAAGTGATGTTAATTATAATTAACTTTATTCAAAAGAGTCATTTGTCATCATTGTAAATATTGTTCTGTTTATATATATATATATATATATATATATATATATATATATATCATTAAATACAGTTACCATAAAATTTGAAGTATTAAAAATTTCTTTGAATTAAATCCTGTTTTTTCTAAACTGTCCTTTTGTCTTATAACCTGTAGACAATACAGAAGGTTTTAATTTTGCTTGCATTCCCTCTGAGAAAGTTTATCATTATGATTAATAGTGACAGTTTATTGTTATAATCAATTTTTTTATTTGAAAATTCCTTCAACCTTTCTTCAATGTCTTTCTATCCCTTCTGCACCTTCAGGGATTTTATATTTAATGATTCAATTGGTCCGATTAAATGTTGGTTCCAAAATGTCAGTATTGTTCTTGTTCCACTGTTCATGACTAGGGATATCTTTTAAAGCTCAAAGATGAAAAAAGCAAAATTGATTTCATAACTGTTTCCACAATTTCAGAAAAGAATAATTATTGCTTGTTGAAAGAGAAACCTGCATGTTCTGGAATCCTAAGATTAGTTTCAAGAAAAATTAACTAACCTTTCTTGGTGTCCCAATGGCATTAAAAAGGGTGATCAAAATCACTACTATGAGTTTTAAATGATTCTTATGACAACTAACATAAAATATATGCATGCTACAAGAAATAACATTGTTAATGACAAACATATTTTTCAGTGTTTTATTTCAGTTTCCATTTCAAACACACCTTTTAGCCTTTCATTGAAAATCCTTAATCAGTCTTTTCATAAAATTTCTTCTTACACATCCCACAGTTTAATGGCGCCAAAAAAATCAATTTACCCTTTTCTAAGGACATAAAAGTAAACAAAAAGATATTTAAATTAAATCATAATTTACATTACAAAATTAAGAATAAAAAGAAAAATAATATTTTGTTAATGTTTTCTTTTGATCAGTGATGAGAATCAATTTTGAACATGTTTTTCAATCATGAAATTTGTAAAATCTCAGATTCAGTGAAAATAAATCAGCATGACTGTTTTTTTAACCCAAGAACAAAAAACATTTTCAGAATCAATTGCAATATTAATAAACAGAAAAAATAAACCTATAATTTATTTTCCTTTATTTATAAAATTTTGGTTCTGAAAGAACTTGAAAAAACATTTTTAACTGTAACTCGATGAAAAAGGGCATTTCTTAAAGTTTTAGAATGAATACTGTTTTTCTATAAAAGAAGTTTTAAAAGGAATAAAATTATTTCTGTTTTTTGTTTTAGTAATTTTGTCATCTTTGAATGTTTATATTAAATTTTATTCAAACCCACTCCCTTAATGACATGATGGTCCTGATGATTTTTAAATAATGTAACAACAGCAGCAAAAATTATCTATGCCTTACACTTGTGGAAAAATATTTTTATCAATTTTGTAGTTTGAGATTAATTTAAACTCCATGCTTGAAATTATGGAAATTGCTAATAGGAAATGACAAATAAATCAGATAAAAAACTAGTAACCCTAGTACTAGACTTTATATATAGTATGAAACCTAAATAATTTTCTAATAAAAAAAACCATCGTGCCCTCAAAAAATTATTAAAAAAATGATAATAATTTTTATTTTAACAATAAAGATCCAAAATGTTTATGGCCTGTCTTGCTAGTCAAATAAAAATAAAAAATACCTATCATCCATTTAACAGGTCTTCACAAAAAAATGAAAAAAGACAGTTTTTCTCTTTGACACTACAAATGAATACAGATGTCCATGGACATTTATTGTTTTAAAAAGTGATGATTACCATTTTAATAAATCCCAAACATGACAGTGGATTTATATATTTTTTTATTCTTTTTTGTTTAAACAAATTGTGTTGTATCATTTATATATTAGTTTGATTAGTTATAAGAATAATTTTATATTTTCAAGATTGTAAAACTAAAACAAAAAATTATATATAAATAAATGCAAATATCTGTGTGTCACACTTTTTCAACTTTACTCCTAGAAACCGTAGCCCAACATATCATACCATTTTGGAATCAGGCCGACTCCATGAACAAATTAAAAACATTCCAGGTTGGATCCAGACCCACAATCCTGAAATTTTGGATTCCCAAGTTTTCATTACTTGCAATTGTTTTTTAGCTGATTTTTTTTACATGATTTTTTTGTAAAAATTTTTTTGTATGATAACAATTTTTATAACTTGGAAATAAATTTGGGAATAATTGAAATTAATTGCGAAATCCAGCAAAAGTCACCCATGAAATAAAAATGTTTGTACATAAAGTAAGGACCTATGTACATCAAATTGCCTTTAAATTAAGTGGTGGTAGAAGAATTATCATTGAACTTTTAAAAGATAAGCTTAAATATTAATGCAATACTTAAATGCAGAGATCAATTTTGAGTTCTCATGGCCATCAAAATGTTAAATATTAAATATTATTACCAACAGTTTTCTCCTTTAATAACTGCCCTCATTTTGGTATAAAATATGTTTGACATTTAAGCAAAGATTCTATAAAAATTTGTTGTTGGTTAATTGATACTTGTATGGAAATATTTAAAATCTAAAAAGTATTCCCTTCATTCAAAATGTAAAAACATTAAAAGCTAATACTCAATTTCCTTTTGGAGAGAGAAAGTACAGTACAAGATATAAAAACAAAGAATAGATAAAATGATTTATTCAAAAATGACAGTAATAAAAATATATTGTAGCAAACAAAAATACAAGCATAGAAGTGAGATAATCAATCATCAGTAAAACTATTAAAACATTCAGTATTGAAGTATTTACCAGCCAGTAAACATTGTTGAATTATGAAGTATTAATAATAAATATGATTGTGTCAAGGCTAGTTGCACAATTTTCCCATTCATGTCAAGGTTTGTTATTTGAAACCAGGTTAAAAAAATGGATTTTGAATGCTGATCTTCAAGGCAGGCTGGAAGATTGTCAAAACACAATCTTTCTACAGTTTAGTATTGTATTGTATTAAGCTATAAGTTTAATGAATGTTAGTAATATGAGGCAGTGTTTTGTTACCTGTGACTAAATCAGCAGATGTGAATAAAGGGAAAAGCTTGATGCTTTTGACATCACAATCCCTGTATAAAGATAATCATTTCAACACTTTCTATTTTATATATAAATTTCCTTCCATCTAAAGACAAAAAATGTAAACAGCTACATGAAATCCACTCAATAAGAAATTTGATACAATTTGAAAAAAAAAGCAACTAGAATTTCTGTTTGATGACAATAAAACAAATTCTGAAATTACTTTTTATGTTCAATAAATTTTACATTTAGGATCATCTATGAACAGCTACTAATATTGCTTACAGTACCTGGAATTCTTCAATGGTATTAACTATCATTGTAATTATTATATATAAAAAGATAAGGTTAATTTTTCTATAGTTAAAACACAAAACAATCTGATCTTCATATCATCAGGATTACATTTGAATATGCAATTCCAACTCATTGTTATTTTTAATTATTCCAGAAAATTTGAATATAGTTTTAGAAAGTATGAAATGATCCTTTGGGCTACCATTGACAATGTTTTCTAAATTAAAAGGAATTAATGTTATCAGTAAAAATCTTAATGAATAATGATAAGACTTGTTTCAAACCCATGAAGGAATGATTTTGTTAAAAAAGTAAGAACTTTTTTATTTGGGTATTGAACTATTATTGAATTCACCTTCATTCTATCCATTACATTTCAATGGCATATTTTAAATTTACAAAGTTACAAAGAATCAACTCTGGAGTGTAGAAGCTGGCTAACAGATCTGAGCGATGTAATGTTTAGCTATAAAAAAACCCAAAAGACTTTGCACAAGATGCATTGTAAATGCAATGGTCACACAGTACACAAGCTCATCTCCATGTTAAATGAGTGACCTCATGAGAGACTATCTATTCAGGCATGTACAGTGAAGTCCATTTTGATTGACTGCTAAGTTATATTGAAGCCATGCAAATGGTTCTTGACATCTCCATAATGGTCGGATATCTTCTGGGCAGACAGTAATTTCCAAACAATAAAAATGAGTATGCTTTCTAGATTGTCCTTATATTAAATACCATTAGAACGACAAAATCATACTCCAGGACATTCAATGCAAAACTAAAAAGTCTGCTTTTTAGAGATAGGATAGAGATACTTACCTGTTTAAAAGCTGGTCTTGATTTTCTTTGCAGCTTTCATATTTTTCTGCCAGAGACTGTGTTGAATCTCTTAAGAGATTCTTAGAGTGTTCCAGGTTTTCTAGTGCAGACAGTTGGTGGGTTTTGTGGGTTTGAAGAATATTGATTCTGAAAAAGAAATATCAGAAATCATCAACAGATGTTTAGTAAAAGAGGTGCATGCAGTATACATCCTTGGATGAATAACTTGGCAAAATAGTTGGAAATTATATTTTATCAGCTGTTGATATCACCTGTGTTACCTCAGACAGGATCTATTAAACAAATACATCAAAACTTTCATTCATTATAATGATGATACAGTGACGGAAAATTCAAGGAAAAAAAAATAATCACAGTTTTAGCTTAGATTAGCATTACCTCCATTTGAACTTCATATATAAAGTTCATTAAAAGACAAAAATATTTACCATAACATTTTGTTTTCACTGGCTCCTTTGAAATGTCTACCTTGTGATTTAGTGAACTGGCTTACAAAGGGTAGCAACAAAAGCTTGTACATTTGCTTCATGTGCATTTTTCAAATTCCCAAACATTTATTGCCGCCCACTGACTTTACTGTTACTCTACAAATCCTTTGCTTAGCTTTAGTTATCTCACTTTAACTCAATATTTCTGGGAGTAGGAAAAAAAAACAAAATGTTTTGCAATTTTTTACATAAAATTTGTTTTAGCAAGTTTTGGTAGTTAATCAGGAAATTGTGTGCAAGGAGAATCGTGAGTAGTTAAGAATTAATGCAAGTGTTATAGAAAAAAATAACATTAATATATTCACAATTGTTTTATTGGCTCATTACAACTTTTTTTACTTTTTAACAACATCATTCAATATTTTTTTTTTTTGGTATAATCTTTTTATTTCTCAATTTTTAACTTCTACCAAAGACTTTTTATTAAACCATTAAATTTTGTGCAATAACGTATTCAATGTATTAGCTTGAAATGATAAACAATTGGATATTCTCATAATCTTCATATGATATCAATAGAAGATATCTATATTTAGATATAGCTTAATGGGAAAGCAGAGAAATAACACCTGAAATTTGGTAATTCTTTGGTAATTCTTATGATAAAAAGAAAAAAAATTTCAAGCTGAACTAAAAGTTCTCTTTTCACTTGTAGATAGTCTTGTACTTCAAAGTTGCTAATATGCAAATGGTATAAATAATTATTCAAAGAGAAAATTAATGTCAAGGACAATAAAAGGCTTTTGTATAGGATTGCATTCCAGGTGAGCATAGGTGAAAGTGTTTGGTAATCACAGTTATGCAAGTTAGAAGAGTCTCAGTTTTAAAGATAATGATTCTGACAGATGATCCCCCCAAAAAAAACAATTGCCAACTCAACCCAACTTCTCTCAACCACACTACTTTGCAACTGGTAAAAGAGCTGGTGCTGGTGGCTGACAGTTACAAATCACCAATAGCGATTATTATTCTGCATGATCTACAATGGCACTTAGAACACAATGGTGGCCCACTTCTTGTTGTTGTTGTTGTTGTTGCCCTTGGTGTGCATCAATAAATCTTCAGCTTTTACACTGACCCAGACAAACAGCTCAAAATTCTGACAACTGATTAGGTAAACCAACTTGTCAGGGTCACAAAACAACAAAAGGGTTAAAAAAAAAAAAAAAAAAAAAAAAGAGAAGAGAGAGAAAAGAAAAGGTTATCTTTCCCACCCACCTACCCAATGCAATAAAGTAAACTGTCCATCAAGGACTTGAGAAGTTGGAAATAAATACAAAATTATTTGGGAGAACTTCTATGTCCAACTGAGTTAACATTAAGTAGAAAGCAAAAAATGAGTGGGATGGCAAGCATAGAAACGTCATCCTTTAGCTATCTTTATCTATCTTTATTCGATTCATAAGTGTAGACATGTTTTCATTCCACAATCCATGATAGGTGAGATCTTGTATTAATTAATGAGATAAGAGTTTGGTAGTCATGAATTCAATCCTTGAGACAGGCAGTGAACAATAAGTAGTATCAAAGGATTAAATAACTAAAAAGAATTAACTTATATGAAATATATCCTCTAGCATGGATGCTAGGCATGAGAACAGCCTTCCCTCATGGATTTGAATAAAGGGTTTGGTTTGAGATTCCAAGAATGTTACTGAATATAAGAGGCATCTGAAGAAAGTTAAATGTTACTGTTGTTCAAACGTTGCAACAAGATGAGGATATAAATCAGTGTGTAATAGAAAAAGGGATGTTTTTCTTGAATTAACAAATCTAATGAATTCATTATTCATTAAAAGTAAGTACAAAATTATATTTGTTAAACTAAAAAGAAAATTAAAGACAAAATAATTTAATGAGGATTTAATGAAGAGATCATGAATACATCATTCCATATGTCTTGGAAATTGTACACCTCCTTGGTTATCGAGCAAGGAAATCTGTTTGTTATGAACCTGTATCTTCCAGTTCACTTGTTGCCACTTGACTTCCCCAAGCCATGTTCTCATACAACGTATCATATGTGTGCGTTATTCAGTCTGCCTTTTGTCTTTTGCCAAGTGAGTATCCCCGAGGATTAATTTGAAAATTTTTGTTTTAAATAGTATTTTTGTGCCTTTTTTTTTTTTTTAAATTTAGTTTTACAATTAAATAAGTCACTGTGAGTCCAAAGAATGTTCCAAGTGTATCTTTAGGGAAGTCACTGGGCTTGAATGTAAATGGGCAGGATATGGAAGAGCCGGTTGAGGATCACAGGAAAGAACTGACCACTGAAAAACTTCAGGACCTTCAGCTGTAGCAGGAACAAATGGCAATTGAATAAATAGCTTCAGTGGGGGAGGAGGAGGAGAAGAGACAGGAGAATGTGCCTTTATTATGAACATTTGTTCAAAACGGAGAGAAATGCAAAGTTTTGTTGAAAGATATCATGCTAACAAATCTGTTTCAAGTCGTGTTGTAAATATGTTTAATGACAATTCCTTGTCACATTTCAGGCAAATTCTAAAATGGAGAAAAACAAACCTCTCTAGAAAAGTTTTTAGTGAGAGAAGGATCAGTTAGTCTCAAATAAGTTCTAATGGCACAGACAGGGAGAAGGAGAATAACCACAGAAAAAGACTTAACTGATGTCTTTATGGTGGAGGATTCCCCTTCCAAACAATAATACCTTTCCTCCTTCCCCTTCTTCACAGTCTTATATACACTAACAAAAATCTTCAATAAAGCTAAAAGGTGAAGTGAAATGTTCATTTATTCTATTTCATTTATATTTATTTCTTATTGTTTTCTGTAAGTAAAACTAGTTATTTTGTATAAAATGTATTTTTTGTAAATATTTTTGGGTGTGTGATATGGATTAATTGGATTTACATTATTTCTTATGGGAATATTACCTTGGTTTTCTTGTGTTTCAGTTTTTGTCGAACTTTCTGCAATGGATTATGGCTAATAACCAAGGTTCCAGTGTATATGAAAGTGAGCAGACAGAAATAATGAAACTTTGCTGTTGTCTTAATTTAAGCCAGCAAATTAAACATACTTTTCTCAGGAGTTAGTACATAGATTACAGCAGTAAAAGCATACATTCCATAGAAATATTAACTACTTAGAAGAAAGAAAAAAAGAAAAAATTGCAATAGAAATTAGCTTAGTTCAGGTTAAACAATTTGTGCATGAGCTAAGATTAATATCTATGGATGTTCTGTTGATCTTATAAATAGAATACTGATGACATAAAATTAAAGAGAAAATATTTCCTCAAGTTTACAAGCATTATCATCGGCTTCAGCTCAATCCAGCTGATTACATGATCAATGTAAAGACTAATACTTCATGCATTTTGGTATAGGTAAAAAAATTGTTTAAAAGAGCAGATGTAAGATAATATACTGAAAATAAAGCCAGTTGATTATTAAACCAATATTTATTCCAGGCAAGTTATGACATCCTGAGGCAAAGTGGAAAAAGGAAGTGATTTTAAGAGGTGTAAAGCCAACTAAAAACATTGTACTCAGAATATGGCAGAAAGAAAATAGCCAGGTTTTTTCCTCAGAGAGGATAGAGCTCAAACCAAAGCTGAGAATGGAATGAAACAGATAAGGAAGCATTTTGCTGCTTGGACTGTTTTCTATCATGCAGACAAGAGATAGAAAGAGACAGGAAAAGCAGAGGGAACAAACATGGTGTCAGAGTTAGTGTCTGTAGGCAAGTGGAGGCTGTGGCATCACATCTTCAACTCCTAGGTCCATTTCTCATCCTGTTACCCACAGACACATCCGTCTTTCCCTGCTCCATCTTTCATATTGATTACATCCAATTAACAACAGGAGTCAAAGTGGCGGCCATTCTAATAGGATAAGGAGGATTTGCTAACAGCACCAAGACACAAGCATTATGCACACACACACACACACAGCCTGGAAAATAATGTTACGTTCAACAAGTGCTATATCAGCTCACTTGGGGCTTTAATCACACACACACACACGATCAATAACTTTATGCCTTGTATTTGGACTTTATATTAAAAGTATTTATACATTTATATAAACCGGAATCTTCTTTATATTAGATAACTCATACAAAGACAATGGGTAGGGAGACTTATCTGGTCTCTACTTGTAAATGTTTAGTCATGGAAAACTAACACATTTACTTTGATGTTTTAAGAAAGGATAACATTTTTTAAGTTTAAAAATAAGGAGATATATTAATGCCATTTTCTTTGTAACACTAAAAATTCAGAAATTATAAGATCTTTTACCATGAAATTTTACATGCAACCAAATTTTAATAGGCTGAGTTCTTTTAAATATTTCAAAATATTATACTGATTAAGTGGTTGATAGCTACCTTCATTTACACAACCAAAGTAAAAGAATATTGTTAAAAAGAAAAAAAAATTTTTTTACTGCACTAAAAATAACAAATTTAACATTTAATTTTGACAACTTGGACTATTAAAACTAGGTACCTCAACTTTTTTTGTTAAAAAAAGAGCATAGCATAATGAAGAAACGTCTGAAACTTGCTGAAAACAAAGTTTTATTATCAAAATCTTTAGTTTATTATTAAGAGGAAAGATCAAAGTATTTTTCGCTTATTTCTAAAAAAAATTTTGAATCCTTTTTAGCATGG